ATAGCTGCTCTCCATCCTTGCATTGATGATAAACCATATCTAACCCTAACATTCTCACCATCTTCTGAAAATTTCTCCGTTTTCGGAGAACTCAGGTATATACCCATCTCCGATAGCTGAAATAACAAAGAAAAGCAATGACATAATATTAAAACCCCTAAGGCTTCATGACTAGAGCACTATACACAAGTGGATAACGGTAGAGAAACCATTGATACAGAGTGGTTATCAATACGATTTAGAGCTAATGTTCGATTTTAATGATAACAAACAAGCGCACTAGCGCAAAGCATTAAAAATGATTAGAAAGAAGAAAAATGGAAGATAAGGAACTCATTCTGAAGACAAAATTATGCTAATGATAGAGAAACTATAGTATGCATTCGTCCTTGTGACCCTCTTCAAACCATGATTATAGCAGAAGAATATATCTAACACTCATGACTGCACCGCGACCTTGTCATCTCTGAAACATCTTGTGTTCCTTTCTTTCTGGATAGCCCGTAAAAATATAATGCCAACTTCCACCAGTATCTTTATGCCCTTAGGATCCTAGTCCCAAACTGGGTAGAAATTATTCATTTAAGTGCTATTAGCATTATTCATTTAAGTGCTATTAGCCTATTACCTAATGATATTAACACCCCCGAAATATATTGAAGAATTTCAAGGTGGAGCATGAGATAATTGACTCATTCTGTAGTTAATAATGCATTCCATCTGTTAGAAAACCCAATTTTAGCCTTATCTTATGAAGTTTAGATTCTTCCCCAGACTGTTAAAGGAGTCGATAGTCCAACATAAAGTAGGAGCTGTGACTAAAGGAAGAAAACTCAAACTATTTGGGCTACTGTCTCCAGGAATCTAAAATGTATCTTCAGGAACTCTAGGGTAATTTGAAGGTCAAGGTCAATTGAAGCAAATATAGCAGCATAGCAGGTGGAGAGTTGTTCTTATCTTATTATTTATTTGATTCTGTAGGATTCTGTCTCATGTTTATTCACAAATCTTGAGGATGACCACACAGAGATTCATACTGTAGCCTAAAGATCATGCTGTTACTGCTTTATGGGAAGAGCTATCCGACTCACAAGGTTTGTGGTGTAAAGTTTGGTGCATTGATTGAAGTTACAACATTCCTAGGTTCCCATTAAAATGAATGGGCAAAAGAAGATTTGCAACAATGAAACATTTCCCTATTTTGACTCTATGGGCGATTAATTTATGTGTGTGTGACACACACACATTATAGAGAGAGAGAGAGAGAGAGAGAGAGAGAGAGAAAGAGGCAATTTGACCTGAAGAAGAGGTACGGACTTGTCAGGTTTATCACTTGAGTCAGCGAGCATAAAAAGAAATGTCACTGTACTAACTAGAAAATAATAGCCGCCAAAAAGATTGGTTTGAGCAATATATGTCTGTCTTTCATATTCATCCATAAATTACCAAATAACTTTTTACTTTACACGGAAGGTCCCAAAATGCACTTCTACATCAAAAACAGATTGCCTCCATAGACTGGTGTCAAACTTTGGAGGTGGGACACCACCCCAGACGTTTGTTCATACAATTAATTCAAGAACAGAAGAAGTAAACAGATTGCAAGTTATACATTACTTTAAGATGAAGTACCAAATTAATATTTCTATATTAAAAAAAACCGGCCAAATTTACATTTCTTTGAGACTTGGCAACACGAGGACCCATAGCAGAATCAATAAGATATATTTACCCTGCTACTAAGTTGCTCGAGCTCTCCAAAAATGTTGCCGCAATATTATTGGAGGATCAGCCACGCAACCGTCGACATTTTTGAAGAGATCGAGCAACATAGCCCTGCTACACCATTATATCAAACAACGTTAGTCTATAATCTTGGTTGGGATCGAAAGAGGAATTGGTGACTGGACTGCTGAAATATAGTGGATTTCACAGACTGCTAAAAGGAATCAGGCCACAGCTTTATTATGTGCTGCATTTTTAGGCATGCTAGTGTCCATGATTTGGAGAGGAGGGACCTACTCAGGTTTCAACATACACAGTTCCTTTCCTGATTAGATCTGCAGAAAAAGTGCTTAACGTGTCCACATCAATGGCAGAAACAGCGTCAAATGGCAGAGGACTCTGGCATCTATAGATTTTATCCTTTGTCTGTTTTTGTTGCATAGGAAAAATGTGATTAGTGATTTATCTCCTAATTTGCATGTACAAGTTAGCAATGGCGATTTGCATGTACAAGTTAGCAATGGCGGAGCCAGGATTTTCACTATATGAAGAAGTAAACACAAGAAGAAGCTTAAGGGAGTTTAACATCTACTATATATAATTTATTTTTAATCATGTAAAAACAGTGCAATTTTCCTTCAAAGGAAGTTTGGAACCCCCTCAGTCTATCTGGCTCTAGGGGCGGAGCCAGCATGATTCGATGGAAAATTACACTATTTATACCTGGTTAAAACTATTTTTATGTGTATATAGTAGATGTTGAACCCTCTTTGGCTAGTTCATGTCTTTACTTCTCCGTATTATTTTTTTATGACAAGGGAAACCAGCAGCCGCTACCCTTTGGATGCGCACAGGATAAAACCCCCATCCTATGCAATAGCTCGCAAGCCATATAGAAAAGGTAACCCGCACTAGGCTGACGAGCTCGACCCAAAGGCAAACCCCTGGCTTTCGCTGGCAAGGGGTTTTGAACTTGAGACCTCCAACATGGAAGTCCCAAGCTCAAACCACTGGGCCACCCCAAAGGGTCCGTTACTTCTCCATATTTTAAAATCCCTTAATTAAAATTTTGGCTCCACCCCTACAAGTTAGTTGAGTAGGAATATTACCAAAGTTAGCTGAAGCCTGAAGGTCAGCATCAGCTTTGATTTGTAATTACATTTTTTTGTGAAATAAAGATCAACTTCAACTAAAAACAAAATCTAGGCAGGGAAAAAAAGTACTAACAAAATATCAATCATCAAGTTTCCTAGCATACCAGAATCATGTCAATTAACACAAGGAATTTGGGTTTAAGGGGTATCTTAAATGATTGATATCAAATGCTTAGGTACCCAATGGTTATAAATTGAAACTATGTGGATCTACGAAACAACTTGAAAGTTATGATCTTCATCCCAAAGTCAGCACACAATGACAACAATTACATTTCTTATGAAACATGATTAGAACTTCATAGTCATTATCACAGGGGAATTAAGTAACATAACGCGTGGTAGCTAGTAAATCGGATTTCATTCTTAATCAATGGAATTCTCCAATCCGTATTATACCAACTTCATAGCCTCTTATCACAGGGAAAGTAAGTAAAAAGCATAGTAACTAGTAAATTGGAGTTCATTCTATATGCAACGTAATCCCAATCGTATTTCACCAGTATAAATCCGTGGAAGAGAACAGTTAGTTGTTATGTATAAATCGAGAGATGGCGGTAGATAGAAAAAGGAGAACTTACAAGTGGATTTCACCGGAGAAGGAGATCGGAAGGAGGAGGTCCGCGGCCGACGGAAACTGGCGGTCAACTTTGCCGACGTGAAGAAACTCCGGCGGGAAAAAATTGGGAAATAAAATTCCGGTGGCTATTTTTTATTTAAAAACACCGTTTTGTGAATCTTCATGAACAAAAACAAGATAGAGTAAAGTATAATCAACCTAATTATTTTTTCTTTTTTTCGATGATTTTAATTTGACACAATTTTTTAATAAAATAATAATATTGATGATTTTAATTTGACATAATTTTTTAATAAAATAATAATATCGATGATTTTAATTTGATATAATTTTTTAATATAACGAGCATATATGCATGCAATCCTTAATCGATAATAATGTGCAATCACCTATAGTAAACAACAGATAATAACAAATACTATATTAAAAATCAAAATTTACGTAAATATATTAATAATACGATTGTTCTAGACTATCACCAAGTCATATACGATATGAATAGGCTAATATTAAGATAGCATCCAATTACATACTAGTATTTATCCTTATTTATATTCTCATACCCTCTTAAGCTTAAACCCTTCGGGATGCTCAGTGATTTGAGCTTGAGACTTTCATGTTGGATGTCTCAAGTTCGAAACTCCTTTTTCACGTACGCATCTAAATAATAACGACATATTTTGTCTTGTCATAAAAAAAATCATATTTGATAAATTTAATTTTAGTTATTGTATTTAAAAATTGTATAACATATAATTATAAAAAAAATTAAGACTCCAATACTTACCAAAAAGAAGCAACCAAATTTGAATTAGGTCCTAATTAAAGTGGAATATGTTAAAATCACTACCCCACTTTCTTAAATTATTGGTAAAATAATGTTTGTTAATTTGTTTGTATGTAAATGTGCATGTATAACACAATTATTCATATTTGATTTATTCATATGGCAAATAATTAATTCGAAAGTGATTGAATGTAAAATAACAAATATGTACTATTAATAATTGTCCTAACTCTATCATTACAATGTAAAACATTATTTTATTTCACGTTTATAATACAAAAATTAAACATTTTTTCATAGAAGTTCTAGATTATAATTTAGGAATAGATTATTTTTTATGGAAAACATGTTACTATTTTTCTTTTTATTAGATTTTGATTTGAATATCACATAAGAATTTCCTCTATTAGTTATTGTTAATACATAATTTTACTAGCTTTTATCAGAGATCTTATATATCTTTACGCATATATCTTTAATTTATTTTTATATATAAAAGATATTTATTTATATGTAAAAGAAATTTTTAAAAAATTATTTTTTTTTATTCAATACATAAGAAATCATAACAAATCTTTTACTCTAAATTAATGGTGTAATTTATTAACTTTCAAATATATATATATTATATTAATTAAAGTCTTATCATAACTATTTTTTATAATAAAGTTAAATCGTGATAAAAAGTTTAATTTTAGAATACCGATCTAATCCACATTAAGAGCGATAAAGAGAATCAAATCTCAAACAAGAATCGAGAGTCGAATCTCAGAAGTAAAGACGGGATCAAGAGTCCAGCCCTAAATGGGTCGGGTCCAAATCGTGGTCGTGAGTTTTATTAAATAAAATTTTTCTTTTCGAGGAATTGTTAATGGCATCTTCTTCTCAGTCCGTCTTCAATGTGTTCGTCTATGGCAGCTTATTAGCTGACGACATTGTTCGTGCTCTTCTCAAACGCGTCCCTCCTTCTAATCCTGCGATCCTTCACAACTAGTAAGTTTTTTATTAATTTAAATCATCAAATTTGTTTCACATTTTCGATTTCTGGTTCCATTTGTACGTAGAAAACTAGGATAAATGCGTTTTTTTATTTATTTAATGGGTATTGAGAATTGGCATAATTTTTTTAAGCAGACAAATTGGAAATCTAATAGGTATTGGGAAGTTTGTGTTTCTAGTTTCGAATTGGTTGTTACATATTGTAATGTTATGTATTATGTTGTTGAATAGAGTATTTGAATAGGTTGTATAGTTCCCATTGTTACATAATGCCACACACGAAGCAATTTGAAGGTTAAGCTATGGGGGTGGAACTGTTACGAAAAGGTAGTAGTCTATAGGATAAAGTAGGATTATTGGATAGTATTCAAAGATAAAATGAGAAGAAGAAAATAAGGTTACATGCAACCACACCAAATCGGTTCTTACATAAAATGGTATTTTAAAGATAGATTTAACGATACGATATGAAGTAATAACCAAAACAAATATTGTTCTTTAAACTAGCAATGCAATACAATACAATAGGTAACAACAAGCTAAATTAGTTTAAGATTTGAAATTTATGGGTTTTGGACTGCAATTTATTTTTGCTTACTACATTTTCGTTATATAATGTGAATTTCTTAACATAAATACAATGTGTGAGCCAAAGCTACGAGGTTCTGTCAAATCTATTGTAGCTCTGCCATTACTAATGACTACTTTAACTTGAGTCTTGTGAATTTGAAACTGTTTATATGAAATTTCTTGCAACTGATTCTGCTCGTGTTTAGTTTTCTATGAGATTGAGCTACCATCAGCATTGTTTTCATTTTGCTTGGAAATGACTAATGAGACCTAAGAATGAAAATGACTAAACTAGACGAGCTCAACTGCTTGAATCCTAAATCTTCATCTAGCTCCATTTGGAGTTGTTTAATTTAGTTCTCTATAAATTATAATTATAAAAATTCCTGACAAATACCGGATCTTATGTGTACCAATATGACTACATGGGAACTTTACAAGATGTTTGGTAATTTGGATTTGCTTTAGTTTTGGCTGTATGCATTTAAGTTGTGTTTATCTGTTACCTAAATGCTTGGTGAAAGGATTTATTTTCCTGTTTTGCGTGTGTGCAATGCCAAGTTGTGTTTAGTTGTTGTGTGCATTGTTTCCCTAAGTGATAAAGGGATATATTTTTTCTAGTATTTTGCTAGCTGTGGCCGCTGATTCTGTTATTTTGGTGCAGTCATAGGTTCAGCATCAAAGGGCGTGTGTATCCTGCCATTCTACCAGTTGAGAACAAAAGAGTTAATGGGAAGGTTTGTTGAACTTTTAAATACTTTCTTTTGTTGTAGAGTTTTCTTTTTACGTTTTTTTGTGTATTTATCTTTCTTTGTAGAGCATTGACAGGAAAGTCTTTTGAAGCATCCTATTTTGTTATCGTAGAGCCTTTACAAATATCGTGGCTGCAAACATTAGTTCTAAACTTTTCCTTTAATCATTTTTCTCCATACGTGTGATGATAACCTTATAACCAAGCATTACATGCTTAACATTGAGCCATTGCTCTTAGTAAGTCATAACATAGCTTATATGTACTCTAGTTTGATGATTTCAATGGTGAACGGAAGGATGGATTGAGGTCCAGGCACATTACATATACTTTATTATTAACTACTAGATGTGAGAACAAATTACTGATACAATTCTCTGTCATTGAGACCTTCTGAAAATGTTGGATCTATCCCTCCTGCAGATCTTCTAAACACGCTTTTTCTTACAAAATTGCAGGTTCTTTTGGATATCAATGTCCCTGAATTGAATATCCTGGATGCATTTGAGGACGTTGAGTATGAAAGGACGACTGTTGATGTTTCCCTGATGGTATTGATTCACTAAAGTTCTTAAAAATTGTGGCATTTATTTGTATTCTTTTTTATGTCTCAACTCTCAAGCACGATATGGTGCATGAGTCGATCTTTTTGATAGTTCAAATGTTCCTATTTGTTGGATCTACTGAACTATTCATGGAGATAATTAGTTATGTGGACTTATTGAGGCAAATGATAAATTACTAAAAAAAATAACATGTTATTAAGTTTTATTAGTTGTGTTCATTAAGCACTATCGTGAATTCTGCTCTTGCTAGAGTACTTGCATTTACGCCCACAAGTCCTATATAATGCTTTTCTGTTTGATTGTTACAGCTTTTATACCATTGTTTCCTCATAGGTATAGAGTTTAGTTTCAGATTGACAAAATGAAAATTCTAGCTCATTGTAGATTAAGGTTTCCAGGGCAGGTTTGTAATGAATTAATGATGACCATGAAGGACCCCCCCCACCCCCACCCCCACCCACCTTTACGAAAATCTACAGTGATTTATTTGGAAGCACTCATGTTTGTTTGTTTGATTGTGGCATGAATTTAGTGTGAGTTTAATTTATTTTCATTTTTGCAATATTGTTAAGTTTTTATGAACTATGTCTTCGCTTTGCAGGACAGTTCCAAGACATTGCAGGTTGAAACATATGTTTGGGTTAACAAGAGGGATCCAGATTTACATGGGGAATGGGACTTTGAGGTAAATTTGTGAGCTTATATATCTGCCTCTCCCTTCATTGCTTGTTGTACTAATATATGAAGAAGGGATATACTTTTTCCTGTCCCATCTTCGGTTCTTTTCATTTTGATTGGACCTTGCATTTAGAAAGTGCATTATGTTGCAAAGGGTTATATTTACTTTTTTGGTTTCCTGATCTTAAGCCCAAAGTAGGTGGTGGGATTTGGTAAAAAATTTACAAGAATATAATCTACATATCTCTGCCTGTGAGTAGAGCAGGAACTGAACGTGTCTCTGCATCAGCGTATAATAGGGTAGTGTGAGATCTAGAACAAAATTGTGGAAGATCCATGTATGAATTCATACACAGGAATCTTGGCCTCTTACCATTCCTTCCCCAAGTGGTTCCAATAGAGTTTTGTTGTGGCTGTGTCATAAGTTACCAACATATAAAGTCTTTGTTTACTGTAGGAACAATACAACATAATCATATTTAATTTAGGACTTGTTAGGTATGTGCAATCTCTTACTTTTTTATGCTCTTTGACCCATTTTGGTAAAAGTTCCTCTTTCTTGCTTGTCTTCTCATTCTACATTTCTCTACTCAATGAACTTGCTTCCTTGTAATGGCAAGAGTACATGAGTCGATATTATTCCATTCGAAATTCTTCCCGATACCTCCCAAGGAGGCTCTGGTTCATCGGATCAACCAAAAAGGAAACTAGGGGAAAATATGCTACAAAATCCGATGGCAGAAGTTATGGCGTTAGGGATCACAATTTTAGGAATTTTAGAGATGGTCCCTCTGTTAATGAGTGAGATATGTAGATAGATAGTTGAGGAGAAGACACCTTTTGTACAGTTGGTTTACACTAAATATTTGATTTTTCTTGAAGATAACACATGACACATTTCTAGTTCTTTGGTTTCAAGCTCCATCAACTTAAAACATATTGTTTGTGGTACATTGTGTTGGTCGGTGGACAAGCCACTAATTGTGCCAACAACTTTGAGAAAAAAGAAATGTGGCAAATATGTTAAAAGTTGCTGGCCTGCACTTTTTGTTAACCATGTTCTAATCAACCCTAAAATGATTGGGAATAGTTTATTTTGTTAGAGAGCAGAATGAAGAAATAAGAAAGCATTCAACCCTGTTCTTAAGTGTTTGAAGAGAATGGTGTATGTGAACAATTATTTTCATATATTTAATGGGTAGCTGTGCAGTTACAGTATTACTTAAACAAGTGCTGGTAGAAACTTTCCTTTGTAAAGACGTAAACTATCTCCTTTCCAAGTTAAATTGATATCTTGTCTTCACATTTAACAATTAGATCCATTTCTTGTGGTTTAGTAGAGATAAACTTTTTCATACCCCAGATGTATAGTCTTTTTTCTTCTTCTTTAGATTATGTGCACCCAGAATTCAAGTAAAAAGAAGTACATTTTACCCTTGCTGGATAACAACAGTTCTCTAGCATGCCTCATGTTTCCATTGTGTTGCTTTATACCTTTGAGTTTCAACATCTATCTTCCAATAAGCCTGTACTATTCTTCCACAATCTTTTGAAATATAAACAGAGTTTTCATTTGAGCTTGAAAATGTTCATAGTTTTCTCCATCAATTGGACTACTGGAATAAATTCATTGCTGATTTTCTGTAGTATCTTCAGTGAGGGATTTTATTTTTATGTTACTTTAGATAATCGAGAAGTGAGAATTCATATAGCTGAACCCAACTTGCTTCGAGTTGAGGCACAGTTGTTGTTTTACTTCAGTAACAATATTAGGCCCCCATAGTCCTCATACCAAATTATGTGCATGTGTGTGTGCTAGCAATGGCGAGCCACACTAGTCCAAGGGGTGTCAATTGACGCCCCTTTGTTGGAAATTACCCTGTATATATAGGTTAAACAAATTTATTGTATATACATACTATATATTGAATCCCCTTGACTTCTTTGTGTATTTATTTCTTTATATTTTGATTATCATGGTTCCGCCGTTCTGTGCTCGGGAGAGAATTATAGAGAGTCAAAGTTGCTTCCTCTTAACCAATGTTTTGTAAAAGCAAGTCCTTAATTTTTTCTGCTGGCCTATGGAAATCGACCTTTGTAGGAATGGAAAGTGTTGCACAAGGGGGACTTCTTGACAATGACAATGGAATTCAGTGAAGAAATGGAGCTACCTGAATCAAAAACCAGAGTGGCAACTTATGAATCCTTCTATGCACAGGAAGAGAACAAGTCCAAACCTTGATGCAGCTATAGTTATAGCAGAGACAAAAACAGTAGGTGATTTTTTCTCATATGTTCTAGTCTTGATGGACAGTGTTACTTGGTAGTGTTATAGTCTTTATGTCTTGGATGAACCGAAAACATCTGATTATGGGTAAAAAGATACTATCCATTCTATCACATCTCCGAGTGGTACTTGTGCTCTAACGAAAGCAACTTCATATGTAATTTAAGAATGGATTGATTTTATATGCGATTTTCTTTCTTACATAAATTTATTTATAACAAGGGAAAATGTGTATCCAAATGGTGTTGCTTTTGAATGACTAAATTCTGTTCGTCATTATAATGTACCCAAAAATATATGAAGGGCCCGTTTGGCCATAAATTTTCCAAATAATATTTGGGAAAAATTTGGCAAATAATGTTTGTCCATACAATTTGTCATTATTTGATAAATATTTTTGGCAAATATCCCAAATTTTCAAATACTAGTTTTTTCTAGTATTTGGGCCAAATATCATTATTTGGGATATTTTAAAAATTAAAATTTTATCCCAATCTTTTATCTTTTACAAAAACACCCTCTCTAGTATTTGCTTGCGTTGTATTACATCATTTTTTACGTGAACACCAAAATAGTGATGAAATATTTAGTGAATATTAAATAATGATATGATTGTTGATGAAAATTATTAAAAATTGGCTTTAGGTAACAAAGTCATGTACTTTATCTACTTCACAATGTATGGAAGAATTCTTGTTGCACTCACTCCAAATTACCACATTGCTTCAGTGTCATAGACATTATTTGTTATTGTTGTAACTAACATTCAATTGACTTGTAATACAAACTTTTAGTTAGTTTTGATAGTTTTTAAAACTTGTGTGTATAAATCATATTTTTCTAAAAAGGTGAAATATATTTCCCAAATTTTATGGCCAAACACATAGTGAAATTTCACCCAAATTTTCACTTTGCCAAGAATATTTGGAAATCTATGGCCAAACGCTAGCGAAGTATCAATAAGGATTGGGTAGGGATAGTTACTCTTTTCGTTCATAATCAAAAATCTCGAGTTTGAGTATCTTAACGTACAAATTATTTTTGTAACAAAGCACTTTACTAGACATTGAAACAAGTTACTTGTTTTCCAAATTTGAAATTTTTATAACCAAACATTGATGTTCAAATAAAGTGGTTAAGTCATTTTTCTCTTCTATATGAGGACATGTAAGTAGACAAAATATGACACAAAATAAAGTGTTTATCGATAGATGCGACTAACGTAACATATAAGTAGATAGTATCATATTTATTTTTTCTTTCATACTAACGGCATTTATACTATTCTAATATTTGTTATTTCGATTTCTATTATTTCTTGTACTTTATATTATCACATTATTTTGTTATTATTAATATCTTTTTAAAATAATTATTATGTAACATTTCTCCTAAATTTTCTTTTTTAAGAATTATATATTATTGGAAGAAATTTTTTTTAGGAAAATTGTCATAATTTCATTTAAAAAATTTGTTTATCACAATACACCAACTTACCACCTTTTTCACATAAACCTTGTTCTCCAATGGCTTCCATCACTTTTCCATAGCTATACTTCAATGGCATCTTCTCCAATAATCTATGAAACTCACCAATACACTCTCCTCTTCTCTTTCTATGCTCTCCTTTTCTACTACTCAAACCCACTTCTCTTTCCTTCATACCTTCACCTTCATTCCTCGCGTCTCCCCAATCCCTCACTTTCTTCGCACCCACCATTATTGGACCCTTTTTCACTTGCTCAGCTATCACAAAGTTCATCAATATGTCTTCACAGTTGTTCTTTTCATCTACTATGAGTTTCAGTTTTGAGTATTCTTTGTTGCATGTGTATTGGTAGAGGTAATTGAAGTTTAATATCATGAATTTTGTTAACATGATTGAGTATTTCTGGGTTTCCATTGTGTAGATCCAGGATTTATGGGTTATGTCGTAGTTGTGAGATCTGACGAAGAATCCGATTAACCGATCTGGGTTGGATTTCCAGATGTTGAAAGCGAAGTTTATTGAGTTTGTGTCCGGTTCGATGTCGTCGTCGCAGATGAGGACGGATCGGGTGGTGATTGATGTGTGAGGATGGAAACGGAGGTTGAGGCTGGAGGAAGGTTGACGGTGGATGGTGATAGGTGTTGCGCTGGCGGCGGAGAGGGAGAGGTTTTGGGAGAGATCTGAGAGGATTCGTGACGGGGTTGAAGGATTGCTCCAGAGGATGATGACCGCGGCTACGGAGGATGCGGCTGCGTAAGTGGTGGCGATTGAGTGGAGAAGTGGAATCCGGTGTTCGGAGTAGCCGTTGATTAGTACCGTCGTTTGATCGGTTTGGAGCGATCGGAGATCCGCCGGCGGCCGGTTGCATGGGTCGGGAAGGTGTGGTACTCCTGTTCGGAGTGAAAAGACGAAAAAGGGTATGGATAAGGTTATAATTACATGCAAGGAAAAAACGGGGATTGACTGATTCATTTTTCAAGTTTTTAGCTGATAGAGTCTGTTCCGTTATGGCAGTTAAAAGGGAGTTATTTTAGTGGCAATTTTGTGATTTAGGATACAAATAAGGGCATTTCAATACTCCGTCTAATATTTAAGATCACTGCATCGAGCTTCCGTCTAATCATTTAATTTAAAGGAGACAAGCAAATATAGCGTTATTGAGTATGCTATTACGTAATTTTATACAGATTAATTTTGAGCTATCGACTAACCAATGCTTCATCACTTGAAATTTGATTAAATTTGAGTTTTTCAAATATGAACATGCTTAAGTTTTGTGAACAAAAGAAATAAAAATCAAAACATAGTCTAAAGTTACTTTTGGGGAATTTGAAAATATTTTAAAGAAAATATGCTTAAATTTTATGTACAAATTGACATTCGAAGATTATTGCTAATTTTAAGATCACAAGAGTTTAATTTTTTTTTTTTATATTAAATCAAAATCTTATCAATAATCAAAGACTCATTTACTTAATAAAAGTTTTCTCAACAAATAAAACAACAATCACACATATATAGAAACTAAAAGAAGTTCACTAATTACAAATAATAGTTACTATATTTTTAGTCTCAGTATTAACACAATATTTTTATTTTTATCCTTGTGTTATCTCACTTAGTATTAGATATTTTGATCATACGATTAAAATAGAAAATACCTATTAATTAATAGTATTAAATTAGATAACACTAACAAAAAATACAACCTTAATACAAAAACTAAAGATATTCAAATCTACATGCATAGAAATTTTCACAAAATATGATATTTAAGATTATAAATCTATTAAGTACTATGGAGCATTTCGCTTCGGACGTTTTACATACGAAATACTTATATTTTCTTGTTGAAAATAATTCTCCGATTTCTCTTTGTCTCTTCTTAGCTCCTCTTCCTATAAAATCGATTTCATCATCTCAAACATAATTATACTCTGCAAATTGCGGAGTTTTCAATATATATCTGACAATTTCAGTGATAGAAATAGAATCGATTCACATATATCGCTATCGTTAGTGTTTTTTTTTCTTTTAACACTGTTTTAGGTTATTAGGGTTTTTATATAGGATTGGGTGAAAGGGTAAAAAGAAAAAACCCGAAAGACTAATTGGGAAAACGGGTCGGGTCAAATTTTGCTTCTTTTTCTATTAAGCAGAGAACAGCTCCAGTAATCTGAATACAGAAGCAGCAAAAATATGGTGAGTTTTTCGTGTTTTTGTGATATTTTTTGTGTTTTATTGTTGTTATTGAAATTGAAATTGGAATCACTAAATTTAGCAAATGTTTGGTGTTTTTGCAGTCAGTGACACTTCATACAAATCTAGGTGATATCAAGTGCGAAATCTTCTGTGATGAAGTGCCAAGAACAGCAGAGGTTCTTAATTTTCTTTTAAAAAGTTTGGATTTTTATGATATTAATTTTGTTATAAGTAAGCTAAAGTTGAATTCTTGTCTTTTCTGTGATGAAGTGCCAAGAACAGCAGAGGTTCTTAATTTTCTTTTTGAAGTTTGGATTTTTATGATATTAATTTTGTTGTAAGTAAGCTAAAGTTGAATTCTTGTCTTTCACTTTTTTCTCTAAGAAGGGTTTCAAAGAATCTGGCTATTGTAGACTTGGAGTTTGACTAATTAATCTAATTCTGGAAGACATTAACAATTCTTGGGTGGTTCTTTACCCTCCTAAAACTCACTCGAGGGACTTCACTGGGTATGTTATTGTGGTCGTCTTGGCGTTTGCGGGAGTGGCAGAAACAGTATTTGTACTAAGGGATTTAAAATATAAAGAACTAAATATAATAAGAATTCAAGGTGGTTCAAAATCTATTATATATAAAAAATGATTTTGACAGTGTATACATGTAATATTTTGAGGAAGGTGATTTGAACCCCCTTGCAGCACTCTAGCTCTGGCTGGAGGGCTGGGGCAGGGTGGGGGTTCATTAGCTGTTTGCTTCTATGTTTGCCTGAAATTGGTTGCAAAAAGTTAGGAACTTTGTTTGCAGATTGATAGTGTTCTTCTTCTTCCAATTTGGTGGAATATAGTAGTGGGTGGTAGTTTTGGCCTTAACCTTATAGTTCCCACTTTTGCAGCTTAGGTCCAGCAGAGGTAAAATCCTTTGATCAACGCGTTTGATAGTAGTTTTATTTCCCGTGCTTGCTCTAGTAGAAAGAGTTTTGTACCTTCCACAGGGGGCTTTGGTCCCCTGCTCCCCTATCGTTAAGTCACCAACTTATTTGTTCTTTGAGCACTGTGCGGGCTTCACTCACCCCTTCTCATACATGGTCTTAGGACTTTGAGTGGATGTGTATGTTTGGTAAAAAGTAGTCCGAGCCTGGTCACTTTGATATGTTTGTGAGTAGGCATCCTGTCCTTTGAAGTTAGGGGGCCATTTGCCTAATTTCTTTGAGAGAGTTGTCTCCTGCCCTAGGTATTCTCTAGTTACTCACCGTGAATTCATAATTTTTTGTAATCCCCAAATGTTAATGATTCTTCAGTGGTAGCTCCAGACACATGGGCTTCTTCCCTTCATTATATGTGTTGGATATTTAGCAATGAGGAATCATTTGTTGCATCCATCTGATAATAATTCTTCCATTATTTCCTCACTATTATTTTTATAAAGGGAAAATTTTGTTGGAAGTTTACCTAGCTGGTATAAAACAAAACATGACTCATACGATGACCAAATAGACAAGTTGCTACTCTATTCTTCCTAACAACTCTATAAAATCCATGTATTGGTCTTG